CATCCTCAGCATCATCATCAGCACAACCACCATCAAGAGGGTCTCACTGGGCAACTCTTAAATGGTGTGACTTCTTCAGCCTATCTTCTGCCACCAGGACAACCGTCGTTGCCAGGGGGACTGGCGCCTAGAATTGCCGGTTTTCAGACTCTCCAGCCGACTGGCCACTCTGCAGTGGCCTCTTGTCCTCCGGCCGTTTTTGCCGACGCTGAAGTTAGGACTGGTTGGCCGGGCCTGGCCGGTACATCTGAACCGATCGGAGAGAGGCAGACCTGGCCGGACCAACAGTGCACAGACTTACGGTCGGCACGTGAAGAGGCCACTCTGGCCTCCTGGCTCTCGGACAAGTCGAGAGACTCGAACTGTCCGATAGTCGAACTAGGCCAGCAGGAGTCGGATTGGCGGAGCGCATGGCGTGTGGGTGCCAGTTACGGCGGCCAGACTGGCCCGGTGGACCTGAAGGAGGCTCGACAACGCCTCCTCGGGAGGGTCCGTGAAGAAGTGGACTGGGCGCATCGTCTGGTGCTGAGCGACTGGCCCGACAACAGCCCATGTCCAGAGGCAGAATGGACTGAGCTGGTGAACATGAAGCCTGAAATGGCGGAGCTGGGCGCCACATCTGCCGCTCCATCTGCTTGCACAGGACTTACAGTCAGAGAGAGCACAAAACCGACGTCCAAGCTGGAGGAGGCCATGCGGTTGCAGGTTAAACGAGACGAGGAGGCGTCGACAGAGTACAATAAAGCACATGGTGTGGAAAAGCACATGGAGACCGGTTGTGGTGTCATCTGTACTTCCGAGAAAGACTACCTGTCGGCCAGACCAGTACTCAACCGGGCTGGACCTGCCGCGGCTACTGAGAGCAGGAGTATGGTACATGCTGTCTGGCCCAGTCTACTCATTATCTCTCTGCTCCAGGTAAGGCTTGTTAACACTCGAACTTAGCTCTTCAGAAATAGTACTCCCCAAGAGCTTAAATTAAATTGTTTCAAATTTATTTTTACTACCTAAACGATACCGTTAAAATCCCGAAATAGCAGCCTTAAACTTGTTGGTGAGACTTTTGTACAAAATTGCATGAAGAAGGGATTCGAAGGTCGATCTCACCAGAAGAAAACGGCTGATTCCTGTTGTAATGCAGCTGTTTGGCCTTAATATGACGTCCAGTTTGGCGCAGTCCAACAGGCATTCTCTCTTCTTTCGGGTGAAAACGGGCTGCGCTTTCGTCCACCATATGATGGGCATCATCAGAGCTGGAACTCACTCTTATCAAATTCGGTAGTCAAGACGACTATCTCACCTCTTATGTATACTCATTGACCTTCGAATCTCTTCTTCATGCACTTTTATACGAAGTAAAACTCTCCCCAATAATGTTATCTCAGGATATTCATCGAAACTCAGTTACTCTTCGGCCTTATACTCGTTAGCAGTCCCCTTTACCGATATTTTATTGGTATGAACCAGTTTTCGCGACAGAAAGACCTTTTATCACTTACTTAGCCCAGTCATGATTAGTTGCCTGACCGCTGATTTGGTATATTTACAATGCCGTGAATAGCAGGACTCAACGATGATGCCGATTCCGAATTCAGTGAAACGTTGGGGAATGTATATAATCAGTAGTCCATTGATGTAAAATGTGATGACTTCTCTGGCAGATGGCACAATGCCAAACTCTCGTATTTATATATTACTCCAAATTGGGAAATACTCTTAATCTCCTACATGAGATCAAAATCGCGAAAATATCGCCAACACAGCGCACCACAAATGGCATCTTGATTTAGTTTGACATTGCTTTTAAAATTTGGTCTTAATGCCGGTGAAATCTCGAAGAACACTCCAAGTCCGGCGCAATTTACCTTAGTAGTCATGATAAATTCCAGAGTTCCTGACGTTTGGCGCGTATTGCAATCGATAACAATACTATGGCAAGGAGGCGGAACTAGGTATATTCCGCAAGGTCTCTCCGTCACTTCGACCAAGTCACGAAATCGAGGTCAACTTGAAAGGATGCTAATAATTTTTATGGAAAATCTTTGCTTTTATGTACACTTTTATGGCAACTGGTTCCAACATTCCAGTTCGAAATATGACGGAAATATGGGATTATAGAGGACAATTTTCCCCGGTTAGTGAACAATACAAAATCGGCGGGCCTGAAATTACACAAACCGCAGCTCAGATTAATCACCATCGTCTCTACCTTGCGAAACCGTAATAACACTTTTCAACTATGTTAAAGAGATCCTTATCGCAAGAAAGCAATCAGAACACAAAACGAGGCTACTATAGTACGAGTGAGATTGTGTTATCGTGAATTTACTTTAAGATTTCTTCAATCATCCTAATTTCAGAAAAGATTATACTTTTACCCTAACACGTCAATGTGCATGCCTGTCAAATGAGCGAATTTATCCTTAGAGGAATACAATTTCAAGTAGCATTTACAACCCATTTGTGACAATAACCTGCACCGAATTAATCTGGTATCTCAATGTTAGCCGAGAATTTTAAAGTTCATTAATATTAATGATAATTTCCTGCATCGAACTGCTGACTTGGTACATTCATAGACCTTTCTCCAGCATCGTAATCTGCATGGCGCCACCCAATAACGATGACAGCCACGAGTTTGGCGAAACGTCCGGGAATGTACCATGGTAACGGTCCAAGGCTAGAAATCCTCGTGAATATTATGGCAGAGGACACAAGGTCCCTCTCTCCTCTGACCAAGTTGCAAAACCAAGTCAACCCAACACTGTAAAGCTAAAGGTAGCTGCGACCAAACAAAGGGGTGCACCATTTGGGTCTTCATATCTTGGACTTTAAGGTTCAAGCTAATCATTGAGATAAACGATTAGCTCGATGCAACTGCTGAAACTGGAGTAAATGGGCTAATTAGTAGATGATTTACCATCCCGGCTGGAAGAATGCTAAAGCCCCCATGTCATTAAGGACTAGCAAACTAAACAGCATATTACATTGGGATTTATATTAACCAGATAAAGCTTAACTCTGCCTTCGTCTATTTGCCTAATAATTCCGCAATGCCTAGAAAGAGGCTCATTTATGAATTCTTTCTATCCTCCCTTTTTAAACGAAATTAAACTCGCAATGTCAAAAAAGAGGATACTTGGTAGGAATCCGCACTACAAGGGCTGTATCATTTCAAATGAATATACCAAAGAGATTTGCTCACCATGAACCTTAGTCACTCTTAGCATGGAGATCAAGATGCTATGACCTCTGTTTTAGTCTCAGTCTCCTTATGCTGTATAGAAGTGGTTTTGACGTCGTTTGTTTAACTTGGTCGTGTCGTCAAGACGACCTAGTTGGATGCACCTCGTCCGAAGTCCACTGCTGTAGTAGTGATAATGCCAGCTTTGAACTGTGGACTTAATACATTCCCACACGTTTCGCTGGCATCGTAGTCGGCATCTGAGTCTTGCCAGTCTTGGCCCTAAGCTACAATGTCTGGAAATGTACCAAGTACATGGTCCGACGCTGGGAATTATCATACCTACTATATCACATTACTTCGGGCAAGGTGTGTCCAACTAGATCGCTTTGGCAACACGACCAACTTGCAAAAACGGATCCAAAACATTTCTAGTCGGTCTAGTTCGACTGAGAAGAAGTAAAGAGTGATAATAAAATTTCCTACGATGGAAAGAGAGTTCGCCTCATACTGTCATTCAATTTCTCTTAAACATGCCTCCAAGAAGGAGTTCTCATCCAAATTGAACTGCAGTTTCGACCTCGCCAAAGTTTTATCAACACTCCCTAAGGGGTTCGAAACAATGTCGTGTAACCGGTGTTGACACAATACCAGCGGGTGCCAGTGGGCCACATGACAAAGATGCATTTCAAGGTGGGATTGTCGGTGGGGTAAAATAATCTTTGCCATTAAAAACGCCTACGTTATTTATATTCATAATGAGTAAACTTCGATATTGTCAGAAGCTCATCGCTCAGTGGAGTGCCGGTGAAACTGCAGCCAACTCTGAATGAGAAAACTTGATAGAAGTAAAATTAAATGGAATGCATTGTCATTATGAGACCTGGGTATTTCATTGTGGGAAATTCTACTGTCGGTCTTTTAGCTCAACCTAAAGGACTAAGGTTAAATTAAATTTTCATTCAAGAATACTGATAATATCAAAACATAATCACTACCAATATAGCTCAACTCAAGCAGGGATGGTTGGCTAAATGCCTCAGCCGCCCCTTGCCTGAATCTGACAAACACCATAGAATCTCTCTTTGCCCATGGTGCACATCTCAGACTATCCTCATCTTCTTGTCCTTGAACCTGCATCCCAGATGAAATAAAGGATTAATTTCTCTGCCTGTGCATGTACACCTAGGCAAGGTAGTAGCAAACAGAGGAAGTTGACCGATTCGATTTCAGGGGAGATTAGAGATTAGACGAGTGGGAAAAGGGGTTGGATTCAAGCATAAAAGGTGGAGAATGACGAGTTGCTAGGCTGTCAAGATAATGGTGGCACAGAGCCTGTCCATTATTGTGCGAACGCACAAGCATGAAAACGCGTACATGTAGCCAAAAGAGTCTGTCTCCTGTTCATGGGCAAACATGGACTATTTCATGAGCATATGTTGAAGTACTTCTAAGCTTATTGAGAAAACTGTTACATGAAGTTCATAGCCTGGCCATTTTGAATAAGTCACCAAAAATCCGTTGATGAGGCGATCACAAAGCGCCGTAGTTGGATTAACTATGTACGAATAGGAAAAATGTATGTTCTAATGCGATAATCTAGACAGGGCTCACACTTAAAGCAGCGTTTCGAGTAAGCGAAAGAGCGGGAGGAATATAGATATCTCCCCATTTAATGAAAATGGCTACTTCCCCAACCCACAAGACTTGCTTACCAAACGCCGTGAGGATTCGACCTGGAACAAATATATCAACAATATGACATGTATTCATCCTATTTCGTTTAAGGCGACAAGGGGACTGGTAGTTGAATTTTCCCACTATGATATAAGTTGACCGATCGTACGTTTCCACTGGGTTTCACATAGCCTTACTTTCCCAAAAGGTATCCAGGTTGAACTGCAACATCGGAATCGCCTGAACTAGTCTCATCAGCACCACCAGCGGGACTCAAGCCCAACTTATGCTAGCGCAGTGTATAATCGCGACACATTAACCACTATAACAAGAGTGTCCTTTAGTCACAGGGCAGATGAGGATTACAAAGAAATCCATACATCCCATCATATCACATTCGGTAGTGGGATTGTCGATGACTCAAGCTCATTTGTTATAGCAATCGACTACATTAGTTATATGACATGGGAAAATGCCTGGCCTTCGTGGGAATTCACATCTTCCCTGTGACTCAAGGGCACTCATGGCAGTATGGCATAGTGGATAAAGTGTCCAAATTAAACGCTGTATTATCATTGTTCGAGTCCCGCTGGAGGTACTGAAAAGAGCGATTCAGTCTAGGCAGAAACTACAATCCACTCTGGATGAGCATACACTTTGGGAGCAAGTCTATATGAAATTCAATGGAAACGTAAAGTATACTCATGCGATTGTGGTAAAATTGAACTTCCAGTTCCCTTTACCACATTAATCGAAATAGAGTGAATAAATATCATATTTGTGATCAATTGGTAATCTCGAAAATCTGCTTATAAAACAAAGATAATACAAGTAATGGGCATTCCTGAAGACCTTTATGGTTCACCTTCTTTTGAGATTTGCTGCCAAAAGACGTCCAGCAAGCCACTACATCAAAATTCTCCAAGTCAAAAAAGCTCGTATCTTAAAAGTTGGAATAATTAATTATAAAAATTCCCATAATCAGAAAAAATTCATACAAATGTAAAATTTATGAAGCTGGCGTCCCTGGGGACATTGCATCATTGGAGTCATTTAGTTCTCAAGTTCAGGGCAAACGAATAGA